AGCGAAGCCGCCAGGGGCAGAATGAAGGTAGCGGACCGGAGGACTTCATCAGCAAGGTGCTGCGCAAGAAGGCGGAAGGAGAAGAAATTAACCGGGCAACGATGGTCAACTCAGTAGGCGCTAATATCGGAGCGGGCACCGATACTACAGCTATTGCACTCACCGCTATCTTGTACTATCTTTGCGTATACCCGGAGACGATGAAGAAACTGCGCGCTGAGGTAGACGCCCACGCGAAATCTCGTGACAGCGGAAGCCCAATCACTTTTAAGCAGGCTCAATCGCTACCGTACCTGCAAGCTGTCGTGAGGGAAGGCCTTCGCATATATCCCGCTACGGGTTATACCCTTCCTCGCGTGGTGCCAGCCGGTGGAATGGTCATTGCCGGACAATTTTTCCCTGCTGGGGTAAGCGTTATTTCTCTCCCTGCATTGTAATTGATGAGCCTCTTGAATTTTTGACGCATCGCTGACAGTTAATTCCACAGTCCGTGGTTGGCATTAACGCGTGGGTGGCCCATCGCAACCGCTCTGTGTATGGTGAGGACGTCGGCACGTTTCGCCCAGAGCGATGGCTAGAAGCCCAGCAGAACAATACCAGCCACCTCCTGGAGGCTTACAACTTCTCCGTAGGTGACCAAAGACAAGCCCCCGCTCAACGTGGTCTTGTGCATGCGTGCTCGATGCTGACAAGGTGATATATAGTTCGGGCAAGGCTCCCGTGGCTGCATCGGGAAAAACATCAGCATTCTTGAGATAACCAAGTGCCTCCCGCACATCCTGGAACGTTTTGACTTCAAGCTTGTCGACAAGGCGGAGCCAGCAGTTACGAACCATTGGTTTGTGAAGCAGAAAAGCCTTCCAATGCGCGTCAGGGAGAGGGCTAAATGAGCGTTCTACCCGGGGAAATGTGAAGAGACTTACCTGTGCTCAATCTGGGATAGACGAGTTACCGCTAGTCATATCATTGGAAACTAGGGTAGTAACACCAGGTACCGAACGCTTGGTGGCGTGTGATTTTTCTTCCTTTGATCACTGAAGCAGCCAGGTAATTTATCATGCCGAGAGTGTACTTTCGCACCTTGGGGAGACTGGTTAGAAAGCCCAACTGCAGATACTTTAATGAGTAACCATTAACTGGCCAAAGTTTGGTAGCTACTGTACAATGCGTACTAAGCATATCAGTAAATTTGAGATGAAAACAGCGCCCCTTCCTTTATGGATCTTCTGGATGACGCGGCGGTTTACCCTGCAAGACATTCGTTATACCGAACGCGACTGAATAACGCAGTCGGGCCCATGCCGTCCCCAACGACAAGATCCTGAGAGATTCCATCAGAGCTCGCCGTGAGCTTTCTGAGCCTCGTAGTAGCCCAATGCCCGCAATAAGTATTCGGTCGTTATGTCCTTCCTCTGCCCACTGTTCTATATCTTCTAAAGTCCTCAGGCGATCTATCCTCGTTGGCGGACTATCCCCCTCCCCCGTGCCATTTTCCGGCGATTCCCAAACCCTACCGTCGCAGGGCTTACCAAGTATATCAAATACCCAAATCATCAGCGTGGAAACGAGTACCATGAACGGTTCGAAGCAGTTATGCTGCTGTTTTGCCTTCATGATGCTGAGAACTGTGACAGCGTGCCAGAGACATCGACGTGTAGCCGCGGGGTGGCTTTGAATCCAAGACTTTAAGTATACTCTCGAAGCCTCCGTCTCAGCTTCAGTTGCTTTCCATCCTGCAAAGGCAAATAGGTGTTTAATCGAAACCTGCCGCAATAGTAATAACGTATGAAAAAATGGTCCCATTGTTCCTCTCGACTCATGACCATTCGTCTTATCAAATAACAGCGTCTCTAAGCTTTCCTCGACAGAGGTTCTAATGGTGTGTGAAATTGGCATCTCCATTAGTATATCACTGGAGATACTTCCTGAGAGAATCCCCTTTCCCGTTGAAGGTCCTATCACCGACCTTCGCAGCGATAAAGAGGATGAGTTGGTAGACATGAGTGACTCATCCACGTAAAGAATCAAAGTAGCCATTTCTCGAGCAAAAGAGCCCGGAGGTGTCTTATAGCTCTGATGAGGTTGCCCGATGCTATGAGTAGTACTGAGATCTGGTTGCGTATTAGTTTACATGCTTCGCACTACTTTTTTCACACAAAATACCTACCACGACAATTTTGCATTTCTTCCAGCCAAGCATTCGAATTTTGGCACTCCCACAGCCTTTCCCTTGATGGAAGCTTTTCCATTAAGTTATTATGATGGTATACGGGAGGGAAGTCTAGTAATACCACTTGCAAACACTCCAATCCTAAGGTTGTAATTAGTCAGTACGGTTCATGCAGTGTTGTCAAACTAAATGCCGGGAGAACTGACGAAAGATGCAGTGCGCCAGTCGATTGCGAGATTCTTCAGTGATCCAGGCCTTCCATCTGCTTTCCGCATCGACTCCTACCGAATTTAACGTTGTGCCAACTGCTGTTGCAAGACGACTACAAAAGGACGCTAGCAGGTTCGTTTCGATTTGCATCTGTGTCACAAGTCTCATGGACCCGCTACAAACGAGGGATATTTGAGTGAGAAGAAGACTTTGAACATATTGAATGCTTGGAGATTCTGCAACTCGAAGCTGACTATAGTGTTAGATCACGGTCCACATCGTGTTGGCTTGGGGCAGTGGAAATGCTCACATTCTTGGCTACAGCTCGGAGCAAAAGCTCTCTCAAGCACGTCATATACTGTTCTCTATACACGATTTGCGAATACTGACAGCCAATTGATGCCATTGCCAGAAGGAGTACCCATGAGTCGTCACCCTCCCCCAGCGTGGATGGGTGTACCATTGGGAAATCGCTGTCGAAGTGCTCATAATAGAGCTGGACAAATGCATGCAGTGCCTTACGGCTGGGGAAGTTGTTGCTCTCGGATTTTCGCTGCTCTTCAAAGAACTTTCGGACGGCTTCATAATCTTTCATGCTGACTCGGCTACTGTACGAGAAGTCTTCCGCCCAAAAGATGTCAACGTCGCCAGGTTGTGGCTCTGGAAAGACAAGTCCTTTCTCCCTTACTCTTGGCTGGGATGGTGGCAAGTGGTCATCTGGTAGTGGCGGGTCCAACCCGGTCGCCGTACTTCCAGCATTGCTGCCCTGGTCAAAAGAAACTGAGGCGTCCGGTGGGGGTTGTCGGATTTCCGAGTGTGTGAAATGTGTAGAGTTGTCCGCTGGTCCTAACTCGCTAGCAACAAGGTCAAGGTCGGCTAGGCTGAAAATGGAGAGATCTTCAGCTCCCCATTGAATCGGAATATTGGTTAAGACCATGGGATCTGTGTTCCAGAAGTTTCTGAGCGTTTCAACATCCAGACTGCTTGTGCCACCGTCAGCGCTGACACTAGTACTGTTTGTACTCGGTGCAACCGGTTGGAGGAGGTCTTGGTGTGAAACGGTACTGATGACCTCATCAGTCTCTAGGTGTAGCGGTGCGGTTACGCCATCTAACGTCAAGGCGTGCGCACTTGGGTAGTTATTGTTAGAGCTCATAGTTGCGCTGGGGAACGCAGCGTTCTGAGGAGTCGATGTGGTATCTCCGAAAGGCTGGCTGTGGGGGCTTTCCAGGGCAAGGGCCTCGACGTCGGTCACTATCTGTTCCTCACAAATACCTTCATCACCAAGAACCGGGCGGTTCTCACTTCCCTGCCATACGAGATGTGCCTGTTCGTCGGTGAAACTGCAGCCAACTCCTTTACGCTTGCATGGGTCGCACGGTTTCCCCCCAGAGCAGCGCCGCTTGGACTTGGAGCATTGTAAGCACGCCTGTGGCCTTCGCTGAGAAGGCACGGGGGTTTGCGAGGAATCACGAGCGCCGGCTTCTCCAACGTGGGTGCTAGCGTGCCTTATCAAGCTGTCCCTGCCGCGCGGTTTAGTTCAGGCTAACCGAGGGTAACGATGCGAAGGTACGAGTCTTACTTGCGAGAGAATGACCTATCACAGAACTTGCACTTGAAAGGCTTGGACCCCGAGTGTCGTCGTAGATGCCGGTCCAGGTGCTCCTTTCTGTTAAATGAGGAACCGCAGAAGCTGCAGCGCAGTCCGGTGCTTAAGGGCGGTGGATCCCCGCCCATCCCTGGTGAAACAAGATGATGATATTGAAGCCGATAATATCTGTAATTCATGCATGTAGGGCAACAAAGTCATATCATACAAAGCGACTCGACGGTACCGGCAATTGAGCTGCGGAAGATTTTCTGGAATAGTGGTCGTTGTGCCCTGATAGGATGCTGACAGCGATCTTAGTGGCTGTGGATACGGTACCAAGGTGTGCGTGTCAGCACTAAAGTCCGGCCACGTGACCTTCAGCGAGCCCATGTGGTAAATGCAGCTCAAAAGGATCGACAAAGAAGGGCACAGACTATGATGGGAGGCGTTGAAGCTTGGATAAGATAAATAGCTCTCGAAATAGGCTATAGACCAGTGGCTACATTTAAGTCATACTCGTACGGCGCTTCTAGGAGGCGACCAGGCAGCGGGGGCACAATGAACGTTGGTCTCTAGAACGACGTCGGTGCAGCCATGCATTTTGGGCTATCAAGTTACATAGTATATGATAGACGGCACTGGAAGTGAGTCGGCAGCTCGTCCTTTGTTCCAGACAAAGCACTAACGACAAATACAAATACAAAATGTACATATGTAAGAGCTGGTTCAACGCGTGAAGTATTGGCCCAAACGAGATGATGGTCTTGCACCTACTGCCCCTCGCATTGTCCAAGAATATCCAAATTTTTTGGTCATAACGCTGCTTCAGGCTGCGCAAAGCCGTTGCAAATCCTCTTCAGTCCCATTTATCAGCCGACCACAAGCTAGGCTACGTAGCTTGAAGGGATCCTTTGTCACGAACCGCAGTGCAACAGACCCACTAGGCAGCGCAAATATTTTAGGCCACAAATAATTAAATAAGGAGTCCCATCTCAACAACCAATCAGAGGATTCGGTCTTGGATTCAAATCTCGATTAGTATAGTGGTCAGTATGCCAGCTTGTCATCTATCATCTGGATGTTCGCTGGAGACCGGGGTTCAATTCCCCGATCGAGAGCTTCTTTTTATTTTTCAATTCTGTGATTATCTTTCGTTATCTTTTTTATTTATTTAACTCTGTATTATAAGTCACGATTGCCACTCAGAGAGTCTAGATCTCCTATCGATGTTTTCTAATCATTTTCTTTCTTGCTTCCGTTTTGAAGAGTGTCGGGACATGGTTGTGTTTATATTTCTTCGTGTTCAATTGTGCTTCTTCTGAACAGCAATTTGGCGAAAAGTGAGACAGCAGGGTCGAATATACTTTGTGACATCAGTCTCGGTCATTCAGCAACAGCATCCCGGCCAGGTCAATATGTTACACTCTCCTCACGGTCTAACCAGAAGCCCTGGGCATAGATGATTGTACCATTGGGTAATACCCAGTTTCTTCCGACTTCGCCCGGCAATCTACTAGTTTGTGCCGTCTTCTCCGAGCTCGCTTGCTTCCTCTTCCTTCTATACCCTGAATCGACCGGGCACGGAAGCGATGCGATGTAGCCGAAACGGTGTCGCATGGCGACCATTCCTCAATACTGTGCAAGATTGAGAATGTCCACCTTTTAGCTAGGCCCATTGCTTTTCCATGTTCGTACCGTTCCTCTGAACTAGCAAGAGGTTCGGGAAATCCGGGTGATATGACACATGCCAGTAATCTGCTGGTATGAAGGCCGAGAAAAGCATTGCTTTGTTGTTTGCCGAGTTCGTTTGGTAACATACTAGGTATGTTGGGTCTTCAGTCCATCTGGACCTCGATGAGTGCCCCATGATCCTACTACTACTCCTCGTACATATTTGGCTCGGCACAACGTTCACGGCCAGCCCAGGAGCTATGATGAAATCTCGGTGGTGCTATATTCCTATTTTGTTGATATGATAAGAAAGGAGTGCATGTTTTCGAATTGGGACTTAACTTTGTGCACTCCAAGTTTTCGAGAACTTCTCTATCCTATCCTTCATCCCGGGATAAAGTTCGAACAAATGGGGCGAAACCCACCAAATTCTTACTCATCCTGCTACAATTCTTAAACACCCCATATGATGAAAAGGCGTGGAGTAGGACTGTAAACAAATCTCTAAGGCATCACAAAGACACGGTCTGTCATTGGCTTCCTCCCCAAGGTCTTCGGTTGTAGGTTCGCTTCTTGGAATATAACCACTACAAGTGAAAATGGTACAGTAAACTACATCCCGATTTTGGGGTTAATTTTGCTGATCGAGGCTAATACTGCGGAATATGGCAAGAACTTACCGACAGTTTGGGTCGGTCTTTGATCTAAACTACTGAATATGCCGTGGATATGCCATGGATTTGGAGATTGTGGTCAAAACTGCAGGTGACAGAGGCATTCTTCATGCATCGCTCAAGATTAATGGTCATTCCGTGTAGTTGCTTATCCTTTTGCATACTTAATTGAACATCTTAATCTACAGATATCCAAGCTCAAAGACCATACGTGTGCAATCAGCTCCTAATAATACCTATACATCTGTATAGACTTTCCGTGTCGACCTGAAGGCTCCGCGCAGGCATAAACTAAAATTTCTTCTGAATCTTTTTGGGCAACAGACCTATGCGAAAAGGGCAATCTTGAACCCTCCAGTGGAAAGTGAATGAAAAACGCCTTTATCCACTCCGTAGTGATTAGACCCGCTCCGACTTGCCAAGTCGTACGTACGTAAGAGGGGCGCGCTCACCCAGGCTTGGACAAGCACCGGCACTAAGAACTTGGGGAAGCAGAAGTGAGACCCCGGGCAGTGGACCAGTTGGTGGTTCGTCCAAACTCTAGACCGCCATGACTTGGTTTGCCGTCCCGCCCGCACCCACAACGCGCCGGCTATGGTTGACTAATTGGGCCATGCCCCCTAGGAAACCGGAGACTAGCGCGCACGTCTTGCGGCTGCAGTACGTACGTCCATGGGATATAGTTCATACCCTCTGACCCAGCCAGTATCAAGTCCCCTTGGAGGGAGATTGCGGCGACGCGCCGCGCATGGAGCATGCTTGCTTGTTCGGCGGCGAACCCAGGCTATGTACGTGCTTGACTGTCAATACTTTTGCGGAGCCCTTCTTGAGCTGGTCGAGAATCGCTGAGATAAGTCGGTTGCACGGCGGCCTCGTTATGCTTGTATTGCCTGCCGGGGGGGCCTTTGCTTCGTACATATCGTAACGTAGTGCATGCACGCACACATGTATCGGCGAACCCGACTAGATGCATGCACCTCAATCCACTGCGCCGACACCCGACTACTTGAGCTGTCGCGTGCACCTTGGCGCTGTCCACTAAGGTGCATTCGCCCTACCAATTAAGCTCCTTTGCCATCATCCGCCATATTGTTCCTAAGTTGATCACTGACGGTGGTATGGGGCCCCTCGCTCGTGCTATACGAATGGGCCACATCCCACGAGAGGGCCGTACGATGGATGGAGTACTCCCAGCTAGCCATGAAATTTCCATCAAGTCGGCCCATCATCCTGGTCACTCAAGTTATGCATACTCCTGGGGGCAGCTAAAGTTAGAAGCAAAAACCAGGAGAGGTATTATCCTAAGCGTATCCATTACTAAAAGATTGAACCCTCGCGTATGATCAAGCCTTATCGCACTTCCACACTATTAAGATACGCAATTACACCACGTCGCAAAATTGTGCCTTTTGTGATCGCCCCACGTTTGCCCCGATTGCGACATTTGATCCCGGCCCGATGTCTATCAGCTACTTGCTGCGTGCAGTAGTGAAAGCGAGACAGGCCTCGGATGAACCATGGCGCGTCGGACATATTAATACTGTCGCCGCGCCGCAAAAGATCGGCGCTGCCCAGCACTCCCTCTCGTCGTCGTCTTCTGTGTCGCCAGGACGTTGAGCTTTGCTTGGAACTACGGGGCCGATTAAACTCACCCTCTAGGGCTTGTGGGAGAAAGTCAAAGCGGAGCACTATCCCAGGGCTCCTTTGCGTACGGATACTACATACAGCGCAAGACCGGACAGCGGACGAAAAAAACGAGCCGGAGTGAGAAAGACTCAACTGACCAACCGGGAAAAATAAAAATCGCCATGGCCGTATTCAGCACGCACTCGGCGGGTGAGAAGCCGCCCGCAACGGATCATTTCTACAACTCCAACAGCCTCGAGCTGGAGGCCGGCGCCGATGGCTTCGACAACGACAGCACCGGCGACCTGGTCACCGCCACCGAGGAGCGCGATCTGCAGCGCGGCCTGCAGCAGCGCCACCTGTCCATGCTGGGCATTGCCGGCGCCATCGGCACGGGTCTCTTCCTAGGGCTCGGCAGCGCCGTGCAGGAGGCCGGGCCCCTGGGCGCGCTACTCGCCTACGCCTTCGTGGGCATCGTCGTGTGCGCCGTGCAGTTCGCCCTCGGGGAGGTCGCCGCCCTGCTCCCCGTCACCGGCGCCTTCGTGCGCCACGCCGAGTTCCTCGTCGACCCGGCCCTCGGCTTCGCCGTCGGCTGGAACTACGTCTACGGCAACCTGCTTTCGCCCCCGTCCGAGATCACCGCCCTCTGCGTGCTCTTTGAGTACTGGACCGACGTCACGCCGATTACTTGGATCATGGTCTTTATCGTGCTCACTGCCATAGTGGGCATGGTGGAGATCAAGTATTTCGGAGAGCTAGAGTTTGTTTTCGCGATGCTCAAGATCCTACTGGTTGTGTTCCTCATCATCTTCGGTCTCGTCATCGACCTGGGTGGCGTTCCCGGCACGCCGCGCATCGGCTTCTACTACTGGAAGGATCCCGGACCTTTCGTTGAGATGATTGCCACCGGAAGCCTGGGGCGCTTCCTCGCGTTCTGGAGCGTCACCACGGGTGCCGTCTTCTCCTTTGCCGGCGTGGAGAGCATCTGTATCGCTGCGGCAGAGACGAAAGCCCCGCACCGGGCTATCCCCAAGGCCTGCAAGCGTGTTTTCGCCCGTATCGTCATCTTCTATCTGCTGACCGTGCTCATTGTCGGCATGTTGGTAGCAAGCAACGACCCTCGCCTCGATGATGAGTCTGGCACTGCTAGCGAGAGTCCCTTCGTCATCGCTGCGTCTGCGGCCGGCATCGCAGGTATTCCATCCCTTGTAAATGCCATAGTAATCACCTCAGCTTGGTCCTCCTCCAACCAGGCCATGCTTTCTGGCACCCGTGCCTTGTACTCTTTGGCGCTAAAGGGCCAAGCTCCTAAGATCTTTCTTCGCACTACCAAATGGGGCATCCCTTACATGTGCACCTTGCTCTTCGTGGCATTCATGTTCTTGAGCTTCATGACCCTGAGCAACGACGCGATGACTGTGTTCTGGTGGTTCGTGGATTTGACTGCCGCAGGTACTCTGGTCACTTGGTCGAGCATCCTGCTGAACCACTTAAGACTGAGGGCCGCGTTGAGAAAGCAGGGCATTCCAGCCAGCCGGCTGCCTTGGAGCAACTCGTGGACAGGTAAGTCCTTAAAGAGCAAGAAGATGGCCACTGGAAGAGCCTTAGCTAACATTGTCTGTGCTTATAGAATATTCGTCGGCTGTTGGGCTCTTGTTGTGTATACTCATCCTGTTCACCAGTGGATTCAGCGTCTTTACCACTGGCAATTGGGATGTCGCAAGTTTCATCTCCGCTTACCTGTACGTTTACCCCCCCCCCCCCCCCCCGATTTGACGAATTCACAGTAGTAATATGCGCTAACTTCAATTTACAGGGATATCCCCCTCGTTCTATTCGCATACTTGATCTGGAAATTTGTCAAGAAGACTAAGATCGTGCCACTTGAGGACATTCCCCTCAGGGAGGCCTTGGAACAGGTCGCAAGCCAACCAGATGAGCCCGAGGAGAAAGGACAAGGATGGGTTCGAATAATCAGCTGGATTTGGGATTAGAAGTTGACATATAGTTGTCTATCGCTTAGAGCCTATTAAGCATAATCTTTTATTATTAGGGACTTGGCAAAACTACCAAGACCTGGAATCACATATATCATTCAAAGTAGCATTGACATCAATCTTATTGTTGGCGAAATAATATTCGACCCC